GGAAGGGCGCAAGTCCGCCGTAACTCGCCCCGGTGAGGCCGCCTGCTGCAGACGGACAACCTGGCCTGACCGTGACGGGCTCTGGTTCTGTGGCCTCGAGGGTCGCCCGACAATTCAGGAAAAGAAAAGGGTCAACTCTGCGGCCCCGTAACGGTTCCTGGCTCGATCAGAATCGCCTTTCGGCAGAGACAGCCAGCCGGTTGCCGTTCCTCATTCTTACATGGTGAACCCCTTGCAGGCAGCCCGCCTGCTAGTCTCACCATACAAAGGCTCTTTTGAACGGCTCACTGCATCAGAAGAGATGCTCTGAGCTGGTGGAACCAACTGATGGCAGCTGAGAAATCAGAGGACACTTTTACTCTCTGGGGCCAGTGCCTGCTTGCAGATACTCCAAGAGAGGCGAATATGTGCAGCTCAGGGTTGAACTGTGGAGTCCGTGGGGTTCTCTGAGCTTGGTTCTTTTCTTGCAAACGTTTCATTACCCGGCTAGGTAACATCTTCATTACCTAGCCAGGTAAGAAAAGAACCAAGCTCAGAGAACCCCACGGACTCCACAAATACCCCAAGCCTACACACTTGGACTCTCCTATTCCCATAACAAGCTGGGGGTATTTTTCTTTGAACTCTATGCAGAGGAATGTGATGATAAACACCCCCACACACACACACACTCAGAGAAGGGTTTTAGACTTCTCCCATGCTGGCCCCAAGTCAATCAGCTAAAACCCAGGAATAAATTTGATTCCTCCAGAGTTGATAAAAAACAATTAGAAATGATGGATGCCAGTCCTGGCTTCAGTGTTTACCTGCATGGACCAACTGCCAAGAATCCCCAAAGGCTGGGGTTTGGCCGTAATAGTGCCAATTTTGAAGGAGGGGAGGAGAGATCTACCTGAAATGTTTTGCACGGTTAGTTTATGAAGCATTGTAAGTACAGTATACACAGGGCATTTATACTGGAAACTTACGGATTGGAAGGAGACAGAAGATTCTCTTGATTCAGAGAGGACAGAAGTACAACAGAGCAGGGTAGTAGACCAATGTATAGCAAAACCAAGATCTGCCCTACATACTGCACTTACTGTACTGACTTTAAGCAGGCCTCTGGTAGCATCTCCAAAAGAAAACTCGGGAGAAAAGCTCAGAGACAGGTCAGTTGACCAATGACTGCTTATCTGTACCTACCAAATGCATGAAAATAGCAAATTGAAGATACTGTATGAAAGAACACAGCGGGGCATCCTTCTGACCCTGACCCTCCAGTATTAGGAGAGGAGTAAAAAAAGCGGTGTTATTGTCCCCTTATTCTTCCATTTTTATGTAAATTCTGTCACCGATTACCTGACAAAAGCAGAATGCCACTCACTAAGCAACCGTCCCCTAGAGCACTAAAGGGGGCTTTTCATTTTCTGTTTTTTTTCTGCTTCAGTTCACCAATCACCACCGGTGAACTGCAGTCATAGGGATTAAGGCCTTCTGAAGTATCAGTGGGCAGGTGGCTTGTTTTAGCTTCCCTGAGATGCTCTTTCTATCGGGTGAGAATCAGAAGCCCCACTTTCCGCATACCCTTCAGAAGGTGCAAAGGAACAGTATGCCCTTCTGTCAATTTCCAGCACCAGAGGAGCATGGTATATCCCAGCTGCCCTCGAGCTTTTCACGGCCAGACCTCTAGCCCGGCTTCTTTATGAAGTGGAATCGGGCGAGGAAGTCTGAGGTCTCTGCCTGAGCCTAACCAGAGGGTACCTAACGTGGCACTGCCTGGGGGTAGGCCTGCCCGAGGTGAACGCCAGCGCTCGGGTGAGGGTACGTAATGTCTGGCCAAAGTGGAATTTTCTGCCACAAGACTTGGCCCTGCTGATACTGGCAAGCTCCTTTTGTGCACTTTGGAAAGTTAGGGTGGAGCAGGAACCGGCGCAAGGTGCCCCCCCCCCAAATGCTCTTGGGAAGTGGATCTGGTTGTGCAAGAGGTTTTCTGAAAGGGAGACTAATCGGTCTGGGTGGATAGGAAGATCAAAGCGCACCTTCTGCAAGTGTGACAGCTAGTTATTTAGGTTTTACCCCACAAGCAGCCCGCTTTCTCAAGCTGGCTCTCCCAAAGTACCTCTGAGTTTTCGCTCTTGCTCATTTTGATATTCTTCCAGCAGCAGTCCTTGAGGGTAGATATAGGATGATCCCTCATAAGGAAAGACTGCCCATTTGGGGACAGGGCATTAGAAATTCTCACCCATGAAATTCTGCACTGTTCTCTCTATACCTCCACAGAACTTTGATGCGCAAAACTCCAGATGTTCCAGACAGTATCTATCTAAAATATCTACTTGAAGATAAGGATCCAAAAATCACCTGGCAAGTAGGAAAACTCTGCCTAGCAGCATGTTGAATAAAGAGATCCCTTGAGGAGCACCAAACTTAGCTAGATAAGCATTTTAGGAAGGTGATTAGTGACACTTAAAAATATATTGATAAAGTATAGGTCTTACCAATCAATAGGTCTTAATCTTAAATATTCTAGGGCTTCAAATTTTAAACATTTAGTAGTATATTAAACATTAATATTGGAGTGCTTAAGCATTATATTACCTCAAGTATTTTATAGGTCTAGTATTTTATCAAGTTGATTCATTTTTTGG